AATTGTTGCCTCTCACCCCTGAGACAGGCCAGGCCAGGCTGTGGTGGAGGGTGACGTGACATCACTCAAGTGCCTGCTGGGGGTGAGAGGGCCACACCATAGTCGCGTCTGATTGGTGACAGACAATTTTGTGTTAAATGGAAAGTGTCCGATTCCAAAAGATGTGTGATTTGATGTTTTGAACGACAGTAATATCAGGACTTTAGCATCCTCTTATCTCTAACGTCTATTGAGTTAAACTTGCTCCAGGTGGACTTCCCTGGTGGCGCAGTGGTTAAGAATCCGCCTGCCAATGCAGGGGACACGGGTTCTGTCCCTGGTCTGGGAAGATCCCACATGCCGTGGAGCACCTAAACCCGTGAGCCACAACTACTGAGCCTCCACTCTAGAGCCCACGAGCCACAACTACTGAGCCCGTGGGCCACAACTACTGAGCCCATGCGCCTAGAGCCCATGCTCTGCGACAAGAGAAGCCAGGTCAGTGAGAAGCCCGCGCACTGCAACAGAGTAGCCCCCGCTCGCCACAACTAGAGAAAGCCCATGCACAGCAATGAAGACCCAACACAGCCAAAAATAAATAAATTAAAATTAATTAACTAATTAAAAAAAATTTGCTCTAAGGACTTCCCTGGTGGCTCAGTGTTTAAGAATCCGCCTGCCAGTGCAGGGGACATGGGTTCTGTCCCTGGTCCGGGAAGATCCTACATGCCGCGGAGCAACTAAGCCCATGCGCCACAACTACCGAGCCTGTGCTCTAGAGCCCGTGAGCCACAACTACTGAGCCCGTGAGCCACAACTACTGAAGCCCGCGTGCCTAGAGCCCGTGCTCCACAACAAGAGAAGCCACTGCAGTGAGAAGCCTGAGCACAGCAACGAAGACCCAACGCAGCCAAAAATAAATAAATAAAATTTTAAAACAACTTGCCCCAAGAGTAACAGCAGTGGACATCCGGACTGTTGATTGCAGGCTAGGGATGTTTGGGCGTGTGTGACGTGCTTTGTAAGCCTCAGCCCCTCACTTCTCCAACAGCCGCTGCAGGATGTTCTAGAATTGCTGCCCCTGTCCTACAGAAACTGAGGCACCCGTAATTCAGTTACATGTTCAGTTAGCTGGAAAGAGTCTCCTTTTTCTACTTCATAGAATTTAGAAAGTTATCAAATACATCAGCCTGGAAGCTATTCTGTTACTTATCTACTTTTACTTTTCCTCATGGCTTTCTTAGGTCTGAGAGACCTGTAACTTACAGCCATTGCAGTCACTTAGAATTGGCACTCTGGGTGATGTTATCAAAGAATTAGTGCACATTTAGATTGTGTTTCTGGGAGACTGCATGTGGGTTCCTCTTGAATGCTTGCATGAACATTTTTTGTGAACTCTTCATGAATTAATCACTGGTAAAGCTGAGGAAAGCTGACGCCTGTTGTGTTTTTCCATGCTAACCATGGTTAACATCTGAATTGGCAAATTGTCAGTCATTCTAAAGTGGGTATAAATTTTGTTCAGCAATTGATTGGATGGCAGCGCAAGGCAGTGGGAAGGGCCCTGAGCCTGGGGTCGGGTGCAGGTCAGGGGCTACCTGGCCGGGTGGCAGGTAAGCCAGGTTCCTAGCCAGGCCCTCTGAGCCTCGGTTTCCCCGTTTCTAAACCAGCAATAATGTTTCCACTTTGCAGAGTTGTGAGAATCAAATGAAGAACGGGAAGACATTTTGTAGAACTTTAATCATTGATAAAATGTGAGGCGTTATGACCAATAGCAATGTTTTTCTTGAATACAAATAGCTGCTTGTTTGCAGACACTTGGCTGGGCTGTTGCTTCAGGACAGGTGTCTGTGTAGACGGACGTCTACGCTGTAAGCAAGTGGGGAACTGGCCCCACCAGGCAGTGCTGGTGATTAGTGAACCTGCCTTTTCTGTGCCAGTGGCTGTTTAGCTGCTCCTGTGAAATCCCCTGGCTGTCAAGCCGTGGCTTTCCGGGAGGACGCCCAGTGCCGTGTGATTATGTGGGTGCCTGAACGATGGTGTTCTCTTTCTTCTCAGCTTGGGTTTGTTGTTAATTGTCGAAGCGAACTGGAGCAGATGAGCAGAGGAACGCCTGGAGAGCAGTGACGAGCGCTCGTGGAGCTCGTGCTGGGTTCAGGGGCCTCGGTCCTGAGCGGGGGTGGGGGGCTTGGAGTGCGGAAGTGAGGAACTTTACCCCTCCCGCTTTGTGAAAGCAGCAGCATGCCTGCCCGGGAGTGCCCTGCACGGAGAGGAGCCCGTGCAGGCGGTTTACTGGGAGGCAGTTTCGTTACTTTTAACCAGAGAATTCTTTAAAACCATCCTCACAGGAAGCATGAGTGGGAGAAGCATGGGACCTGTGCCGCGCAGCTGGAAGCCCTCGATTCCCAGAAGAAATACTTCGGCAAAAGTCTGCATCTGTCCAAGGAGCTTGCCCTGAACAGGTGGGCGACTTGGTCCTGTAGCCTCGCCTTCCTCGCCCCACTCTCCCAAGTCACCCCAGTCCCGGAGCAGCATCCCTGCCCTCCGCTGCTGGGGACCCGGGGAAGCGGCCAGTGGGGTCGTCCCTGAGAAGCACCCACCCCCCCCCCCCCCCGAGCTTTTCCAGATGCCTGGAGGCCCCGACCACTCAGAGCAGCGGCCTGAGAGCCTCGGGGGGCTCATCAGACGTACTGCAGCCTGAGGCGGGCAAGACCGACGGGGGCACGCCCCTAAGCTGTGGATCCTGGTAGAAGCGTGTTGCATTAGCAAGACCCGCACTCCCAGAATCCTTAGGTCTTTGCTCTGGTGCCCTGCGACAAGCAGGACGGGGTTCGGGGTGAGGTCCTTGAACCCCTAGCGATGATCAGGCCCCGGGTGAGCTCTGGGGACTCGGAAACCCCGCGAGGGCCCTGCTGAGAGCCAGGCTCGACCCAGGGGGCTGGGGGCAGGCCGGCCCGCCACGTAGGCAGCTTCCTCTGCCTCATCTCAGTGCTCAGAACAAACCGGGAACTAGTGTAAAAGCCGCGGCGGGAGGTGACACGGCTCACTGAGGCCGAGCAGAGCGCGCCCAAGTCCTATGGAGAACCTTGGCGTCTCCTTGAGACGAGGACACCCCCATCGGTTCCTTGCACCTGCCCCAACACCCCAGCGTTGGGGGCTCCACGGGACATGTCCCCGTCCCACACCCCGACCCGCTCACTGTGATCAGAGCGGAGTGACGGCTGGGATCTGGATGGGAAGGATCCAGGCCGAGGCGGGAGGGGAGCACCCTTGGGGAAACGGGGCACCACAAGGCACACCCGAAATCAGGCGCTCAGCGCCCCGGCTCCCGATGGGGGCCAGTCGTGCAGTCGTGTAGCTCCTCCCTCCTCGGGTCTGCTCGCTGCCCTGAGGTGCTGGGGGCCGCCTGCGGAGCCCGAGGTCGCCTCCAGCTCTGGATCTGCAGGGCTGAATGCCCGCACTAAGGACGTGATAGAAACAGCACCCTCTTACACATCGTGGGTGTCCTGCAGGGGCTTCGTGCTGGAAGCAGAAGGACAGGTCCTGTGCACACATTTCCCCACTGCAGAGGTCCCGGGGAGAGGTAGCCCAGGGCGTGTCGGGCAGCGCCTGGCGCACTAGAGCCACGGGTGCTTCCCACTCACCAGCCCCCGAGGGAAGGAAGGTGCCCTCTGTTTCCCACTATGGACCTCACGGTCCCAATTCATGAGCAGCGTGAGTCCCACTGCACAACAAAATGAATCAGCCATACACATACAGCCATCCCCTCCCTTTTGGACTTCCATCCCATTTAGGTTACCACAGTGCATCGGGTGAGTTCCCTGTGCTATACAGCGTGTTCCCATCAGTTTCTATTTTATACAGAGTATCAGTAGTGTATATGTGTCAATCCCAGTCTCCCACTTTCTCCCACCCCACCCCTTTCCCCTTGGTGTCTATATATTTGTTCTCTACGTCTCTATCTCTGTTTCTGCTTTGCAGCTAAGATCACCTGTACCATTTTTCTAGATTCCACATGTATATGCGTTATTACACGACATTTGTTTTTCTCTTTCTGACTTACTTCACTCTGTATGACATTCTCTAGGTCCATCCATGTCTCTACAAATGAACCAGTTTCATTCCTTTTTGCAGTCCAGGTTTTATTGAATCAAACAGGCAAAGGGGAATAAACTGACATGCTGAAAGTTTTAAAGTCAAATATCTGAATAATTCATCCCTTCATCCAGCAGCTATTTATTAAGGACCTCCTGCTTAACGCTTTTGGAATGCCGGTGGCTTTACCTTTATACACATGGGTGCAAAGCTGCTGAATTCTGGAATCACTGGAGTGTGTTCACAGGGGCCCGTGGAGTGAAAGGCACTCCTGGGAATAGAATTCTGTTAAAAACTACATAGAGGGTTTCCCTGGTGGTGCAGTGGTTGAGAGTCCGCCTGCCGATGCAGGGGACGCGGGTTCGTGCCCCGGTCCAGGAAGATCTCACATGCCGTGGAGCGGCTGGGCCCATGAGCCATGGCCGCTGAGCCTGCGCGTCCGGAGCCTGTGCTACGCAGCGGGAGAGGCCACAGCAGTGAGAGGCCTGCGTACCGCAAAAAAAAACAAAAACAAACAAACAAAAAAACTGTATAGAACAACCACAGAGAAATCCTATTCTTTCCCAGTTTCTCCAAGGACAACCTAAACTCTTAGTACTCATAAAATTAAAATTGAGTCAAAACTTAAAACATCCCTTCTATTTTTCTCTAATTATAAACCATTACTACAGATTGTATTTTTCTCAAAGGTAAGCCTGTCACATTATCATAAAGTAACAGTTTTAAATTCAGTTTATAATATAGAGGCAGCAAACCTGGGAAAATGTGAAGTGTCTTGAACCGAAGCTCTCAGATCACCCACAGATACGGGCCAGGGGATTAATGCCAAACTCATCTTCACTCGGGAGGAAGAATTGGACAAACTCTCTCCTGGTCCAGATACCAAGTTCCCCCCAATATTTCTCTCTCTTTGCCGTATTTCCTTGATGCCCTAACCCAGGAGGGCTCTAGAGCAGTGTTACCCCAAAGAAATAGAACTCAAGCCACATACGTGGTTTTAAATTTTCTAGTAGCCTAATTAAAAAGAGCAAAAAGAAACATTGGTTTTATAGTGTATTTTGTTTCACCCAATATATCCAAAATAATCACTGCAACTTGTAATAACTACTTAAAAATCATTGAGAGGTTTTGCATTTGGGGAGCATAAAGTGTTTGAAATCTGGCATTTATCTTACGGTGACAGCGCAAGGACGGGCAGTGGGTGTGTGTCTTCGAGGACCTCTTCCCGCTTGTCTTAGGACCACACAGCAAAGATCCATAGGTCACCGATGTGCAGTCTCTAGAGAAACTGTCTCGTTAATGCTTTTGCCAGAAACCATGACTGAAGGAGGCAGGGCCCGGCTGGAGTCCTGTTTCCCTCAGGCAGACCCCTGTCTGATGATGTCAGCGCCTGGGGTCCCTGCATCTTCACGTGGTCACAGCTGGGATAATCCAGAGCCGTGATGGGGGATACAGAGCATTTTTGGAATTATTTAATCTGAGAATATTTTTATGCCGTACTCTATCATTTAGTAAGTTAACCATATCATACTACGATTAGCATTCACTAGAGCTGGTTAAAACCACATGCTTTAGGAAGTGATTCCAGGCTGTAGGGATTGAACCTATTTCAAAGATCTGACCAAATGCAAGGTTGTTAGGATAAGGCTAGAATCCCAAATCAATTGCTAAGTATCGTTTAGGACAGGCGTGGCAGATGCGTGGTTATGTAATAGCAGCTCCAGTTGGTCGCAGCCATCCGGACCGCTGCCGAGAGGTTCCGGTGCTGGAAGGGGGGCCCAGATCAGACACGCGTGCGCCCAGGGTAAGGGGAGGTCCAGGCAGCCTGAGCACCGTTTATGTGCTGCCCTTGTCAACAGATTTATTGTCCCAGGTAATAGAAAGTACACACTTTCCTTTAAGTGTCTTCATTTTTACTGTGAAATATGGTAAGAACAAGAATGGAAAATGGGTCTTCATTATACAGTTATTTTTTTTTTACTTTAAATTTTAGCACGCTCCAAAAATTGGGGATAACACCATCTACTTACTACCAGGTAAGTCTTGCTTTCAGCTTAATCAAATGTGTATCCGCTAACTGGGGACACCTGGCCACGTTCAAGTGTCCCATCAGCCTGTGAGCTACACTCAGGTTTTAAAGCGACCCAAACCAGACCCTCCGACCTATTATGTTTCTAAATAGGTTTTATTTAAATCTTGTTTTCCTCTGTGTTTTGAGTGTAAACCAAAGGCTACTTAAACCGATGGTTTTGAAGCAGATTGATGATTTCCTGGTGAGAAGTGTGTTCCGGGTTCTGAAGAGGCAGGTAGAGTAAGGAGTTGGAAACCCCCGTTTTATAGTAGTTTGAGGAAGAAAGTGAAAATTTGTTTTTATGATATAACTATGTTGCGTGAGAAAACTAGAAATTTAAACATGGCAGAGCCTATTGTCTGGTGGCCTCTACAGAAGGTCATTGTTTCCACCCAGGGTAACCCTCTGTGAGCACAGCTGTGTTTGTGCTCAGCCAGGCCACCCCTGGCATCGGTGGCCGCCAGACCACGGGCCTGAAGCCTCTGCTCTGTGGCCCTTTGCAGATATAAAAAAGCCTGAAGGTGTGGCTATAAAAAGCCCGATATAGGATATAAAAAAGCCTGAAAGTCACTGATTATGGCAATTCTGAGTTCCGGTGCCATGGCTGGATGCTGAACCATCATTCTGGTCTCGTGACAGTCGGTGGAGCTAAATCTGCACTTGCGTCTTGCTCTTTGTATCTGCTGTTTTCGTCCCTCCCTGGAGAGTAGGGACCAGAGGGAAGAGTGCCCTTCAGGAGTGTCAGCTGCCCTTTGTCCATCCTGCCAGGAGGCTGTGAGGCAGTGTGCTTGCCGGCCCCTTGGTTTCATCTGGACTCCCGTTTAAGTACATAAAGGGAATTTTTTGCATCCTTGCTCAGAACTTGACATTCAGAGAAATGATTTCGATTCTAGCAAAAGCAACAGTGGCAGCACATGTTTTCTGAGCTCCTTCTCTGTACTGGAGGCATTAGGTTTGGTGTGTGAAGTAACGCGATGCACGGCACAGGCAGGGTCCTGACCTCTGAGCTCCTAGCAGGAGAGTTCCTGCTTTTAAAAGCACCCAGCCTCTAGGCCCTGGATCAGGACAGCAAGGAGAACGGAGACCCTTGTAGAGCAGCTTGTGTGGATTCCGGTCTGGAGGGGGGAGCCCAAGGGGGCAGCCTCGTCTCCTTCGGGGGTGGGGCAGTTCATTCACCAGCATCTTCCAGTTCTATCTGTGAGCCAGGGGAGCTCAGGGGGATGACGCTGTTGTCGGTTGTTCACGTTCCTGAGAGTAAAAACCAGTGTCACTTGTTCTGAGTAAAACGGAACTGTTCATTTCCTCTGTTGAAGTTTCATTTCTAACACACTTTATCTGATTTCAGATTTCAGATATTAAAGATGCCCTTGTCAGTGTGTACGGCGTCGTGCCCAAAGTCCAGTGTCTTCCAAAACAGGTCAGACGTGTGATGTTCTTGTCATCCTTTCTGTCCCTATCAAGAAGCAAGTTCGGTTTTTCTGAGAGCTTTGTCCTCACCGTGAAGTTCCCAGGACAGAGTGGTATATGTGTGGGTGTGCAAACGGGCTTGTGCTGTGTGTGCATGGGCGTGCGCGCGTGTATGTGTGTGTGTGTGTGTGTGCACTTTGAAATAATAAACTGTCCTTTGGCACTGTGCTAGGATGGGGCTTGTTTCCTGGCAGCTTCCCCCTAACAAGAAGGCTCCCGTTCTGGAGGGGTGGTGCAGTGGGGGCGAGGCAGTGTGGGTATATTTTGCAGTTAAACATTTCTCAGTGTTCGCATTGTTAGTCTTAGACATTTCAGTTGTAGTTACCTGTCCAACTTATAGATGGATTGTACTTTCTTTTGTCAGCTGATAAAGTCTTAAATTCATTTAGTGATAGGGTGCTGTTTACCTACTTATCTACAAAAAGCCATGTCTTCTCCTGGGACTGTGATGCAGATGCGGTGTGTCCGGCTGTGTCTGCACGCACCTTTAGCGATGTGTAAATTTCTAAGCTGAAAGTGGGGTCCCCTCCCTCACGCCGCCAGCCTGGCGCAGGGGATGGCTGGATGGTGACCACAGGTGCTGCCTGGGGCCCTGGCCCTACTTTACCCCTGGAGCTAGTGTCCTGCTCCTGGAACGTGGATCCTGGGTCCGGAGCCACCGCTTTTGTTTTTCTTCAAGTTCTAAAACTCGCTGATCATAGAACCGTCATGATGATCCAACCTGAATTCTAAAACGTCTTTTGTTCCTCATTGCAGGGCGACGAGGAGGTGCAGCTCCTTGCGCAGATTGAGGTGTGCTTCTCCAAGGACCTGCAGCTGCAAAACTGCATGGAACCCGGGGAGCCGGCGCCCCGAGGGCCGGAAGCGAGGCTGGCGGGGAGCCTGGGGCTGGAGATCTGCAAGGACGGCATCCTCTTTTACCCCGCACTCAACAAGACCAATCACTGATGACCGCATTTTGTAAATAGTATTCATTTTGAAAAGCAAGAGGAATTGACAAACCACTGCTTTTTAAAAAGCACTTCTGAAGTGAAATCTCCTGTTTACAACCTCCTTTACCTAAGCCTGTTCTGTTTGCTTTGCTTTGCACTCCGTGTCTGGGAGTTGATTTTCGTGGTACATGTAAAGATGGGGTGAACATTGGGTACATTGAAAGGGAGGAAAGTTCCCCGCCTCTTGCCTGCTTTGTGACTGCAGTAAAGCTTATGGTTTTCTTTTTTTCTCCTTTATCAATCTCTGTGGCAGCCTTGGAGACAAATCTGGGCAGATGGTACCGATTCAGGAGAACTCTCTCCTGTGTCCCTCTCAGTGAGCTGCCTTCTCACTCTGAATACTCCTGGGGGGCCGTTGGGACCATCCCTCGAGCAGGAGCCCGGGCCACCTCGCAGGGGGTGCACAGGAGGGCGTCTCCACCTCCGACCTCAGGGCTGCCGGCTCCTGTTCCGTGGTCACCCACAAGCATCTCCCTCGGTGACCTGGCATGGGTGGGCGTGG